CTCTCTCTCTTTCTTTACTTCTTTTGAGTTTGATTGTGCATTAGCTTCTTTCAGTGCTTCCCTCAATTGTCTGCTGGCGTCCATTAATACTTTCTGTTTGTCTTCTGATGACTTTGTCTTCACTTCATCAACTGCTTGTTGTATCCTCTGCTGTATAATGGGCTCTTGTTCTTGCTAATGAAGAGAAAGAAAGAGGAGAATTTCTTGAAATATTCACATTACATTTAAAGTTATGGCTATTTTAAGAAATCGGCCAATTTTTGAAAAATACCCTGTACTATAATAGCCCATGGGTTTTTCCAAAAATGGCTCCAAAATCATTTAAAATTTTTATTACATTTTCTGTTACGTATTGATGCACTTATGCTGTGTAGAAAGTTTGAGCCAATTCTGAGCTCAAATTTTTAAGTTATGGCCAATTTAAAAACTGCATGTACATGTACACACATTACAGTGCAGCATATAGTATGTGCGGTGTACTACATACAGACTTTAATTATGCATGACATTACATTATGAGTGTGTGGGTGTGTGTTTGTATTAATTACTTCAAATTGTTTGTACATATTATGAGCTGAAGTCAGTGTTGATACCAAGTGTATTCTCTCCTTTAGTGTCATTAATGATCGCTGGGTCTTTGACACCATACCCTCTAGAGTAGTCATCATCTGATGGAGAGAGAGAGAGGGGGGGGGAAGGAAGGAGACAAAAATTGACAATATAGTGAATATGTACATATTAGTAACGCGGTAGCGTTACTAAGTAGGATTCACCCCAAAACAATATGGCTGCCACAACTTTTGCAGCCTTGCTATACCGGGAAAACAAGCTCCTATGCTTACCAGACTTCTCAGAAGACCTTATCTTGACCAGAGGACTCCATAGGTACCACTAGCGTGGCTCTACACCTTGTCTAAGAGGAAAGTCAAAAATCGGCAAAACGGCCGTTTTGTTCAGTCGTCTTCATCATCATCATCATCATCATCATCTCCTGTCAATCCAGTTGTCGGTGTGTATCTCAATATTGGCTGGTGCTAGAAGGCTAATTCTTACACCATTCTACTCCAACAGTCTATGCGCAGGTCCATGTCCCATTACCTCATTCTCCAAGAAAGGAAGAAGTGACACTATGACTCTAGCATCAGTCAAAACTTACCTCATTCCGCCATTTTGTTATTAAAAGAAACATGTGCTCCAAAATTTGGGTGTGGTCGCGCATGCTCAGATCTCAGAACTGGGAAATGCAAGCAATTTTTTTATCTAGCTCGTATCTAGCTATGCTTGGATCAACTGCAATACTTAGTGGAGGTTCCAGGCTTCTAGTTCTAGCTAAGAGAAGTTATTTAATCTTAGATATCATTGTTTTATTTAAATAAATAATTAATAAATTGTATTTTTAAAGATTACAAACAATAATGTTATTGAAACAATGATCATGAACTTGACAACAGGAACAACACAGGACAGGATTGCAAGGAAGATGGATACTCTCACTGCTTCTTGAACAAGGACTCATGTCAAGACTACTATTTAATTTAATTATAATTTTACAAGATGCATAAAGTAAGTAGTCTAACATAGTACAGAGAGAGCAGAGGAAGCATCCTGAAGGACTACCAGCAAGAGCTGCTGGCACCCAGAAAATCAGAAAAGAAAGGAAAGGGAAAAATAAATGAATGAATAGATTTAAAATATGCATATAAATAAAGATTATAATATACATAAATAAATAAATAATCAAGGAGAATTAACAATGATGGCAAATAAAATCAGAAATTGGAAATGATAGGCTTGTAAAAGGTTGATTTGTATTCAAAGACAACTGATCAATTGAAAGACTATACTGATATGTGTATGCACTAAGAGCGTAGTGTGTGAGCAATAAAAGTCTAGAGAGGAAAGAGAGAGGGGATTGAGAGAAAATAAGTAGTATAGAAATCAGCTCTAATGTTACAGAAATCATAAACAACTATGATACAAGACAATTACTGTTTCTTTGTGAATATAATCGATAGTCTGTAACAGTGGTACGGAGTGCTAGAATGAAGGTAGACGGAA